GAGGCCTTATGAGGCCTTATAAGCCTCACCTTACCTTGATCATCCTATCTTATCTTTAGTTCTAAGTCCAGATTTTTAATTTAAAATATCAAAGTCTTTTAACAATTTGTATATATTATTGATAATAATAAGTTTTTTTTTTATAAAGCCTAGGAGTGCTGGGACTTAAACCTGGGTCACCGCCAAGGCAGACCAAAGGGACCATTAAGCCAGGTGCTTGAAGATTGGTGAGTTTGAGGCAAGCCAAGTGAGGGCCCAAGATGCGACCTGAGTGACAAATGGCAGGCCGGACGTGCGGGGGAGGGACCCCGTCCACCACTGTGCCACCAACCATGGCAGTCCGCGAAGAGACTGGCTAGGCACGGGTATGGGCCAGGGCCAGAAGTTGGGCCCACTAGATAGGACATCCAATCAAATCAATCAACTCAAAAAGATCGCCACATTTTGGAACAGAGCTGTCTTTCTTTGGTTTTGGACCTCTTGGGTCAGTTATGAGTTTCCTTTGATTTGTTCTTTGGGGCTGTTGAGTGGGAGCCCAATTGACTTTTGGGCCCGGGGCCCCCCCACATCTTCTCACGTCTTTTTTGCCTTTTTCGCGATTGCGCGTGCCCCGTTTTCTGTTTGTCAAAAATTGTTGATTAGAGACAGATCGGATCTCTGATGTCAGCAAAACCCCAAATATTCCTATTTCTCCCCCCTCTCCCCCCTCCAACTTGATCTTTCGTTTTACTTTTTATTTATTTATTTTTTTACATATACAACTAATATATATGTGTGATGATTATTTTGTATATAATTTAATTTGTTGACAATAAATCTCACAATAATGTGATGAGTTTGTGAGAGTTATATTATTACACCATAGGTGAATTAATAGAAATCAGAAATTAAGGTTATTGTCAATGAAAAAGTGGATAGTTTGATATTTGAGTACCTTTATTTCTTTCTTTTTGATGCAAGAGCACCTTTATTTCAAACTTTCTACAATAATTAATTATGAAACGTTTAGGATTATATAGCTAGGAAAGAAACTGGAAAACCTAAACCTACTTAGCCGTAGTAGAATAGGCAGGGCTATATTCCAAGAGCAAGAATATAATATTACCTTGTAAACGACAACATGTGAAGCAGCAGTAGAAATATTGTATATGTGTTTGATGAAATGTCTTAAAGAGAGAGAGAGAGAGAGTCTATAATTGTTCTAACACTAAGCAGTGAAGAATCCACAGGTGAAAAACCAGACAAATCCATTAAAATCTTTATGTAGCTAGGCGGTAAATCATCCCCTTAATTTATGGGTTATTTTATTTTATTTTAATTATGAGTTAAATAAAAAATAATTTTTTATTTTTTAAAAAAATATTTTATTTAATTTAAAATTTAAAATTTAAAATTTTTACCAATTGAATCACTTGTTGGTGCTATATATATGCTTTCTACAAATACTAGACACTTCCATTTATCTCAGTCAACAGTGGAAATTAAAGGGGAAAGAAAAGTCAACAAATTTACAGTGTCACTCTTTTCATCTGTCCTGACAAAATCGGGCTATGTTTGTTGACACTAAGTTTGATCATTGTGTATATTCGCTTTTGAGATTTATAATGTCAACTATTGAAATTTGTAATTTATACGGTAATTATATATTTGAGTAAGTGGATCTTTATTTAAAATTATAAACTAAGACAAAGACAGAAAATGTCATTTTAACCCAAAAGCTACAATAGGACCAAGAAATTAAGAAGAATTTGAAGGACATTTTTAATAAAGAAAATTGCATGCGCAAAGAGTGTGAAATCGATAATGATGATAACATGATATGCTAGAGAATCAAAATGATTGTATGCTCAAAATTATTGTATGTCTAAGTTGTTTAGTGGGGTTTGTAACCATTGACGTTTTTGGTGTGGGTTTATCAAAGATATGGGGTAGGTGGCCTCGACCATAATCTCAGATTATTAAATCTGATATTCAAAGGTAAATGTAACAGACTGCAGGCATCTGTAACTTACATAATATAAAGGCCTTCCAAAATTAAAGGTTAAGCAAGAATATTACACCTCCTAAATTCCCAAATTAGAGGTCATACCAAATTCATATATTAGGATGGGTGGAGAAAGGATTTGAGATAATGAAAAATTATCTATGACTCTGTTATATGATTCATATTCACATGTGTTTATCAGAAAAAACTCTAATTATAAATTTGAAAACTCTAGTTATAAATTTAATTATTGACATAGAAATCACATATGTGCTAGGTAATATGATGACTGCAATTATATATAAAAGCATGAAATTAATAGATGTACATATAAAGAGTAAAAAGTCACAAAATGTTATGAGGAGTTTGTTTACAAAAAACTTGGATAATGGCACATGGTCTCCCTTATGAACATTTCCATAATAAGAAACCCTAAATGGGTCTTCTTCCTACTAATTTTGCAACTTCACAATCTCAGGCATAAATCTAACTATACATAATTCAATAATCTCACATACTACCTTCACCTCTTCCATTGTCATCTCCATTGCTCCATGGAGAAGAATAATAAAACCCAGAATTCTGATTAAACCCTCCTCCTCCTCCGCCTCCATGCCCTGGCCTTCTTCCAAATTGCGGTGCCGGCATCTCACCGCAGGCGTACCGGATCAGATCGGCGTTGGTGGCATCCAACTCCTTCTGGAGCCGAATAACCTGTCGTTGAAGCACCGAAATGGCCCCAGCGCAGCCGTAGACTGGATCCTTCATCCGGGCCTCGGCTTCATAGGCCAGGGAGTTGACAGCATCTTCTCTTTGATTCGGTGGAACTTCATTCAGAAGTTTGCTGACGTTGCTGGCGCCGAATATCTTGTGAACGTTGGCAAATTTCTGCGGTTCCTCCGGTGGAAAGTAGGGTGCAAAAACACAGTCCGGCAGACATTTTCTCCTAAGGAATTTGCAGGCTGCACATGGAGAATTTGAATAGCTGGAAGATGCCATCCCTAATCTCTCTGCAGTAATTACTCTTATCATGCAGCATAAACAGGGATCAAAATTCAAAACCCTAATTGCATAATCAAAATCTTGATGAAAAAAATCACAATGAATTCAAATTGACTTTGTTGAACTAGGTAAAAAATAATAAATAAAATAAAATAATTAGGAGAAAAAAATTTAAAAACCCTTTGTGTTGTTCCAAATTCAACATGTATTGCACTACATAAAAACTAGATTTAGCCTCTATTTGTACATTTTTTCAACCTACTTTTTTACTTCTTTCTGGATTGCTAGGCAGCCTTTCTTTAGTATAAATTCATCTTAAATGAAATTGTATATAAGGCCAAAAAAAGCCCCCAAAAAAATCATGAAAACCCCAAGAAAAATGAGGAAAGAAAAACACACATCTTCTCAGATCAAAAAATTTCCTTTTTGGGGTTCTTTGGACTTAATTAATTAATTAAATCAAATAACGGATCACAAAGATTAGAAACCCTAATTTTCTTAAAATTCGTTTGACAATTTATTAAAACCCTAATTAAGATCGTATACCAAAAATCATAATTAGACAAAAACCCCAAAGAAGTGGAAAAAGCAGAAAATTGAGAATGAGAGAAACGTGGATATCGGGTGCTCGGGTGTATGCACTATTTATGACTTAGGTTTCTTGATGAAAAGTAAAGAGAATGGTACCTCCTTAATTTTCTCCTCGGGTAGGTTCTTTCAGTAACTGGTCCCCTTGTGGAAAAGACTATGCAGCCACAGAAAGGTGAAAATTCCTTTGGATCTACTAGTAGCTATTACAAATGGAACATGAGAGAAGGCATATTAAGAGAAGGAACCCTAGTTAGATACTGGATGTGCCTGCAAAAACAGAGTGACAAAAGGTTAGGAAGATGGGGAAAAAGGGAGGCAAAGAGCATTAATTTTTAGAGGGTGGGAGAAGAGAGGAAAGCAAAAGACAAGTGCAATAAATGGGATCGCAAAAGGATGCATGACTACGACACTGCACTTATAATAATATCAATCAATCACTGTTGGTGAATTGGGGAATCAACTTGATTGATACCATACCGCAAAAAAATATTGAATTGTACAACATGAATATCAAATTAATCAATTATTTTTTTAAATATAAAGATTTTTTATGTCAATTTTACAGTCTGTTTCTTATTTTTTGCAATGGGATAATAATATATATTTTAAACTGTAAAACATTAGGTTGATATATTAATGTAATTTGCAAGAAAATGGACTCAAATCCAACTCATGGTTAGGGAAGCTAGTGCACTTTACTTTTCAAGTGGTCAAGCTACAAGGCCAATTAGGGTTTGTAGTTGGATTAATTGCCTTTAAATTTTCCTTTTCTTAGTATATATTTGATCATGATGACTGATAGATCTTCATCCTCGTGAAATAAAAAAAAAGATAGCAAGTGCCCGGTACTGTGCTAATGAGCTGCAGAAACAAAAATCAAGCCATTCAGAATTCAGAAAATGAAATGAGAAAAAAAAAAAAAATCTGCACACGCAAGTTATGATTTCCCCAGTTGACTAATTTGTTGTATAAGTAATAAGATTACCAATAGTACTACCTCATTCCTTTGGGTCTTGTACATGATATTCAGATCCAACATTTTTTTTTAAATGTTTTATTTTCAATGACCTTGGTTTGAGTATATGTTCTATTGTTTGCTATAGATACCAATCTTAATTATGATAAATTAAGTTTTTAAGTAAAAATTTTAAGTTCAAACCGTAATATAAAATTATTTACAGAACATTTTTGTTCTTCTTTTTTTTCTGACATAAAGGGCAATGACAAAGATTACTGAAAATTATCTAATAACACGAAAACTTACAACCACCAATAAAATCTTCTTCCCACAAACACACATGAACCTGGTCTGGCGTTTTTCTCTTTAGCTCTCAAAGAAATTGGTTTGTCCATTTTTAGATTAATTTTTTTTTAAATTAAACATTAATATATATTTGCTGATTATGATAATACCCTCCCCTGCAGCCTCTGAAAGTTTGAAGTTTTTGGTTCACTATAATCACCGATGAATTTTGAACTATTAGCACGAAGATCGATTGCTGAAACCTATACTGTTTCCCTTCAATTATTGAATTCAGCTAGCTTTGTCCACACTGTATATGTCAGTTTCAGTACGTAAAAGGACAAATTCCAATTAAAACTCTGCTTCCTGTCTGCCTGTCTCAAATATTTCTGTCCTCCTGCTGTAAATTGGATTTCAAGATTCATCCAATATAGTCTTCTCTTTCTTCTAAATAATTTGCACGCCATGTCTGGATCAAGATGTAATTAAGTTCTTAGTGTGTATTAAGCATGGAGACGATTCATGATAGACAATCAAAAACCGTATTATATTTTGTCGTAATTTAGGCTTTTCTTCCTACCTCCATCTCACTAGATCTCTAGCTAGCCGAAAGTTCAAAAAGGGCATAAATTAAGAATAATCAGTCTCAAACCCATGAGTGTAGGGAATTAAATATATATAAGGTGGTGTGCTATTATTTGGGGTTTGTTCATATTATACAACGTTGAATTAATTATTAATAAAGATGAAGATTGGAGAGCATATGACATGATACCTACCAATTACAACAAACACACATAGATTTATATAATGTTGAACCAATAATTGGGCACAACTTAAAAGTAGTATATATATAAATCATGTTGTCTGGCCAAGCTTTGTGTGTGAAGGGAGGAGACTTGAGAGAACTCTTGTTCAATGTACATTATGAGTGAGATTGTGATGGGTCATTGAGGAAGAGATAAAGAAGAATAATTTTAAGTCAAAATGAAACATACAAATGGCACTAATCATTAGAAGAAGCTATTATTGGTGGCTCATGAAAGATGTACTAGAGTATGAATTTTTAATTACTACTCTATTATATTGCAAGCACCCTTATGAATTAAAACTTTAATAGAAGATACATAGTTATAATATAATATGGTATTATAAATTTATAATTATAAAATATTATTTTATATAATTAATTTTTATCATTCAAAGGCGTAACCATGATATTGTATATATTTATTCATTTAATAATAATTATAGTTATAAACTTATGATTTTATAAAATGACATTATAATTATAAAATTTCCGTTCCCAATAATCAATTTGTAAAACCGAATATGAAAAGCATTGTCACAATGAAAATCACACGAATGAGGGGATCAGCCCAAAACTTGAAGTCCAATCCAAAATGTTCGGCAGAAATGGGCAGATACATCTATTGCCCTGTTTTTGGGCTGTGGAATCGAAAATAAATAAATTTTGGGCTTTAGTGGACCATTAAGCCCATTTACTGCCACGTGTCTCTCAATGATTAGTTAAAAGCAAGAACCGCAGGCAACCCAACTGTAGATCCAACTTCTTGCTTCTGGAGCCGAAGACTCAGAAACTACGCAACGTGTGTTAGCATGCGACTACCAGATTGAAGTCAAGTGCATGCCATTAACAGTTAATCTGAGAAACCATAAAGTACAGATTTTGAAGCTGTAAGTAATTTTCTTTTCAGTCTTTAATTTTCTCCGAAAATTTTATTGTTATGAACTCATCATAGTTGTTCAGTTGCAATCTTTACCATCTCAGATAGCTTTCTTCTGCTAATTTTATCTCAATTTAGGTTTACAGTAATTATGCATTTCTTCACCTTCAATTTGAAGGAATTTTGAAATTTAATGAACTGGGGTTTCGTTCTTCAGTGAAAATTTGCCCAATTTGTCACAAGTTCTGTAATTTTTTTACTAAAGATCCAATATTTAGAAGAAAGATTGATGGGTTTTTGTTTTTTTAAGCAATTTCATGGAAATACAGCTTCCTCTTAGCTTTTAGAGTAAAGAATGAAAAGGGGTTGTTACTTTGAAGTTCTATTGAGATTGGCTGTAATTTTTGTAGTGGATCACCATGGCGGGGTTGGAAGAATTAAAAAAGAAGATAACACCTTTGTTTGATGCTGAGAAGGGCTTCTCATCTGAGTCATCAGTAGACCCTAGTGATTCTTATATGGTAAGTTACTGATCTAGTTCTCGGAATGGGAATCTTGGAGTGTGGATAGATGCTTTCTCTTTTCCCTCATATACTTATTTGGTCATGTGAAGCTGTCGGATAGTGGAACTGTTAACTTATTGAGTAGATCATATGGAGTGTACAACATTAATGAGCTTGGATTGCAAAAATGCACATCTTGGGCAGTGGATGAATCAGATCATTCTGAGAAGACATACAAGTGTGCATCCCACGAGATGAGGATTTTTGGAGCAATTGGTAGTGGCGCAAGTAGTGTTGTTCAGAGAGCAATTCATATTCCTACTCACAGAATTATTGCCTTGAAGAAAATTAATATTTTTGAAAAGGTTAGTATGTTTCGATACTTATGGTGTTAATTTGTTGTGTTTCATTCTTTTGCTTAACTAGCTGCTAAATAGTTTATATGGTATTGATTTGACCTCAATATGGTTTTGATGATAAGGCGATGCTATTTGTAGTCAAGTATAGTTTTGCAATAGTTGGGTGTACAAAGTAGTAACCCTTCACTTAGACAATTAAAATTTGAATTTGGTGGTACATTTGCTTCTGCAATTCTTCTTCTTTTTCTATTTCTATTATGCTTTAAATAGAGAACATTTATCATCAGAAGCATACTTCTGCTATGTTTGATAAAATTACAAAGGTGTTATCTGTCTTCAAAATCTTGAGCTCTTATGTAATGTGCTATACTTAAACCAAATGTTCTGTCAACAAAATTGCTAATTGAACACGTGAGTTACTTCATAGATATGGCATGAAATAATACCATTTAGTTAGTGTATTGACCTGCATCTGCATTTCATATTTTGTTCTTTAGGAGAAAAGACAACAGCTTCTTACTGAGATCCGGACACTTTGTGAGGCACCTTGTTATGAGGGTCTTGTGGAATTCCATGGGGCATTCTATACTCCTGAATCGGGGCAAATAAGCATAGCTTTGGAATACATGGATGGAGGGTCATTGGCAGATATCTTAAGATTGCGGAAAAGTATGCCGGAACCAGTTCTTTCATCCATGTTTCAGAAACTTCTGCAGGTAATGTTTCAGATTGTAGATATCTGCCATGCTTCAGTTATATGGTCTGCACATTCTGCATCACTTTCAAGCTAATTCCATAGCTATACTTTTCTTCTAGGGACTAAGCTACCTGCATGGAGTCAGACATTTGGTTCACAGAGACATTAAGCCTGCAAATCTGCTTGTAAATCTCAAAGGAGAGCCCAAAATAACAGATTTTGGAATAAGTGCTGGCCTGGAGAATTCAATGGCAATGGTCAGTCTCAGACTCTCAGATACTAATAAATTTGAGTTTGCTTTTTTGTTGACTGAGTGTTTGTTTATCTGTCTAGACTGAAATAATTTTGGAACACAAATATCTAAAATATGCAAGTAATTTATCAGTGTGCTACATTTGTTGGAACTGTTACGTACATGTCACCTGAGCGAATTCGGAATGAGGGCTATTCTTATCCTGCTGATATTTGGAGTCTTGGTCTTGCTCTCTTCGAGTGTGGTACAGGAGAATTTCCATATACAGCTACTGACGGACTAGTCAATCTTATGTTGCAGGTAAGATTCCAATACCTTCTCATATAGAATGCTTATTGTAAAATGCTCCTTGGAAATTTTTTTTTTTTCCTTCTAAGCTCATTTCTTTTATGCACAACTAATGTCCTGCCTTGTCATGGAAGATCTTGGATGACCCATCTCCATCACCACCAAAAGACAAATTTTCACCAGAGTTCTGCTCATTTGTTGATGCTTGTCTGCAGAAGGATGCAGAAGCTAGACCAACAGCAGAGCAGGTAAATGGATGGGTGTAATATGAGTTTCCTGTATCAAGTAACATGCACTTATAACTTATAACATTGATTAATTGATGTATGATTGCAGCTTCTTGTTCACCCATTTATCAAAAACTATGAACATGCTAGAGTGAACTTGGCATCGTTTGTTAGAAGTGTTTTTGACCCAACACAACGGATGAAAGATTTGGCTGATGTAAGTACATTTAACTTTATATCTTACACACATATACAAGAGATCAAAATTGTTCTACATTAAGCATTGTGGTGTAATCTTCTTTTGTGCATGTTATGCTAACACTTGCATTTAATGACCAGATGTTGACGATACACTATTACTTACTTTTCAATGGATCTGATGACCTATGGGAGCACACAAGGGGCCTATACAATGAAGGTTCAACTTTTAGGTATCGTACCATACAGAATTTTCCTAACATTCTTTACATGGTAAAAGTGGGGCAAATTTTGCTGTGCATCCAATGAGATTTAATTTGAGGGTGCTTCATTCATTTCCCCCCCTAAAATCAAGGGCATCATAAAAGGGAAGAAAGAACAAGATTTAATTTTAGGCATTCTTTTCACTTTCAGTTTCTCAGGAAATCAATTTGTTGGTGCAAATGACATCTTTGCAAAACTGTCAAATATAAGGAGCACGTTAGCAGGTGATTGGCCCCCCGAGAAACTTGTGCATGTTGTGGAAAAACTTCATTGTCGTGCTCATGGTCAAGATGGCATAGCAATTCGAGTCTCAGGATCCTTCATTGTTGGTAATCAGTTCCTTATATGTGGTGATGGCCTACAAGTAGAAGGCATGCCAAATTTCAAAGATCTTTCCATTGACATCCCTAGCAAGCGAATGGGTACATTTAAGGAACAGTTTATCATAGAGCCAGGCAATTCCATCGGTCATTACTTTATAGCTAAACAAGAGCTTTATATCATCCAATAAAGTAATGAAAAGAACAGTCTTCTTTGAGGATAGTTGATTACTGACACGTTAACAACTGTATGCATACGTAACTGTTGAAAAATAAAGACTTGTTTTTATATATCTGGATAAATTATTTTACGTTGGTTTTCGAAAAGTTTGGATAAATTACAATGCATCAAATATTTCAGTATGACGGTAAAAGGTACTGAGAATTGGTGGCATACAAAAAATTATCTCGAACCCTGCTTTACAATCCTGCAAAATTCAGAAACCGAAGTGTAAGCCTGTAAAGAGCTGGTCATTTCTAATTAGTAGTTGCTCCATCAAAGAAAGCTGAAGGTTTGGGAACTTACTTTATATTCCCAGAACTTGTACGCATTTTTCTACAAAAATCTGCTACAATGGTATGTATGATCTCAACCGCAAGGTATGAAACAACACAGGTTCATGGAGATACCAGGAAGTAATCTCGAATTGTTCTTCGTTTCAGAGAGGAAGGAGGATTCAAGACAGAACTTGGACTCTTCGATGCAGCTTCAGGCGTTTTTTCTAAGTTTTCTTTTGAAGCAGAAACTGATGAAAACCTTCTCTTTTGGGCTTCAGGGGTACTAAGGATGGAGTTTGGGATAGGCTTGGATGACTTCATTTGGTGCAATACTTCATCTGCAGGATGTGAACTGTCAGGGTCCTTTGTTGGACCTGATAATTCTTCATTCTTGATGAGTTTCTTACATTCTGAACTCGGAATTGCCATTACTCTCCTCCTAATGGAAGATGGTGATCTTGTGCTTGTGCTATAGCGGCTTTCAATGTTCCATATCCGGACCTAAGGAATAAAGATTGAAAGATGAGATATACTATTTATTAATATGATCATTCCACTCAAATTCAGACCAGTATTAAAGGAAAAGCTCATTTCAATACTGATCAGAATACGCATGGACTAAGTTGCAAAACAAGCGTAGTATTTTTGTTAAATACTCACTGTGAAATCATCTGCAGAAGTTATTATCTTCCCTGTCTCAGATGGACACCTGCAGAAGGTGAAAGAAACAGTAATGTGAAACCTTAACCACCGTATTCTAACTTAAAAAAGTGCCTTAAGAATAACAATGGAATACCAATTTACTGCTGTGACTTCTCCACTGTGACTTTCCAATGTGATTGGCTCTGCTTGGGGCTTGTTCACCTGGTTTTTTCCAGTGGATTATTGTTCTGAAAATGACTAAACAATAAAAGAAACCTCTTTTAGTTAAGAACAACTTACCTGCCATACGTAGGCATTTCCATCACTTGAACCACTGAGTAAATATGCTGCATCAGGACTAATTGCCGACTGCAATTACATAATTGAAATTAAAACATAAAATGGATCATGGATCTAACAACTTAGTCATGATAATCAGAAGATGAAAGTCCTGGCAGCTTGCGATAAAATGACATTACCTTTACATAAAATGAGCCTATTTGGCATCTAGAGAACGTTTGTATTGGACCCTTGTCAAGCTGAAGTACGTTGTACAAGTATATTCTAGGAAAAAAAAAGGGAGAAATTACATCTAAATTAGACATCAGCGGTGACTTAAAAAATGCATTTTATTTAATCCATGCCACTTTATAAGCAATATGTATAATGAATTATATAAACTGGATTGCAACCTCAACATATAGGAAGCATCACAAAGGGAACATTTCACAAGATTATGGGCCATAAGTATTTGTCGTTGTGCTAATCAGAAGTAATACCTGTTGTCCATGCATGATGCTGTGAGAAATACTCCATTTAAATCCTGAGACAAGCTAGATATGCCATGAGATCTTTCCTGAAATCAAGAAGAATTTATGTTATATATAAGTAGAAACATTACGTCCCATAGATCATTCTGGCCAAAGCGTTAGATGCACTGGGAAAAAAAAAATACTTTTGCGGATTCAATTTAACTTTGATTTAGTTTATCAACAAATACTGCATTACTAGTATTATAACAGAACTTTGAGCAAGGAATGGAACTATCATTACTTAATTTACAGTCAGGAGTTGCTGAACTGGACAGCAATGCTTCCTCTATGAGAAAAATATGCATCTGAAGTGATAAACGAGTTATTAACTTGAATATAAAGTTAAGGTTAGAACGAACCTTTTGAGTTGAAGAATTTGGATGTGGACATGCCTGAGTAACATGAGTTTTAAGATTTCTGGAATCCCAGAACTTTACCACACTGAAAGTACCAAGAACAGGGGGAAAACTTAGCACAAAATAACTGCTACCTGAGAATTCAAAACTAACTTTCTGGAATGGAACATTGGCTTCTTAAATACCTGTCAACTGCTCCAGCAGTAGCAATGGAAATCTCATCTTTGAGATATAGAACTGATGTAATGCTCATGGATGCAGCCTGAAAGAGTTAAAGTTAACAAAAAAGATTGGAAATAATGAGTCAAGAAACTTAAGAGGGGAACAAACCTTGACACGCTTAACACGTCTTGCTTGAGGTGAAATATGAGCTCTTTTGACTATGGCAGTGGAGCTGAACGAAATGCAATAGTAGCATCAAACCAAGTGAAGTGATTACAGGAAATTTGAAATGGGAATGAGAAATAGAGGGAGCACTTGAGTGCTTCAAAAATATAATCTGCTAGATCATGTCAAGAAGATAAGAAACAACAAATTACCTAATGCAATCCTCCTTGCATCTGCTTTTGGAACTAATTTTGCACCTCAAGTCCCATAAAGCAAAGGACCCATCTCTTGAACCGGAGATGATAATATCTGTTGAACAATTGAATTTGAACAAATCATTTTTTTTTTTAGGGGGGGAGGGGTGGGTCGGGGAGTCATTTTCTGGAATAAATTAGATTTTTCAACAAAAATACCGGAATTTGTTGGATGAGAACTCAGAGATTTCACACTTCCTGTATGCCCAATCAGCACGCCAGTGCATTTCTTTTCCTGTACATCCCACACCCTAATCTGCACATATCACAATGGAACAGAAAAGCAATCAGCTTAGATTCTGAAACAGACGCTCTAATCCAGTTTTTAAAGTCCATTTTTAATCATGTGCTAGGGTGTTAAATCTTTACCCTTTTACCTATTGCTCTACATTGTTCACCATGTTACAAACTTGGAATTAGGGTAGTTGTTGAGAAACCTGTATCTATTGTTCATTATGGTTGATGCCAGCTAAAACAAAGGGTCCATGCTTATAAATAAAACCATTTGCAAGGCATCTCATTGAGTGGCTTAAGTCAAACCAACATCCAATTTTTCTGTCAATTGAAATGCTAAAGTGAACCATTTATAGTGATTGGTTACTTACAGTTTGATCCCCTGAAGCTGTCAAAATGTTGGTATCTTCCTGCAAGAAATTTCAGTAACGTTAGTATCGAAGCACCAAACTCAGAAGCTTTGATTCGGACAGTGATCCCTATTAGCCATTAATTTCAAAATTGCCCTGATATGGAACAAATAAATCTCAAGTTCCACTACTGTTCATTTCTAGAGGGTACCTAAAAGTCAAGAATACATTGGAGATAATTCAGTAGGTACCTTGTTCCAGCATATATCAAATATGGCATTCTGATGTGCTACCCAATCAGCTAGTCTAGCTTCCTCTGCAAGAAATTTGTGATAATAAAGAAAATTACAACTCTAGTTACCTACCTAAAAACCAGCTAAGAATTAAAAAAAATAAATAAATAAATAAACAAACCTGTATTTTCCCCACGAGAAGAGCAAGAAGAAAACTTTCTACCAGAATCAAACAAATTTACGTATCCATCCTCGTCAGAGACAGCAAAAATATGGGAATTTTTACTTGTCTGCAATATTAGGATTTTAAAACCCAAAATAAATAAATAAATAAATAAGTCCGAATTCACATATCATAAAATTTTTAATTTAAAAGAAAAAAAAAAAACAAATAACTGATCGGAAATTCCAAAAAAAAAAAAAAAGACCTTGCAAAAGGAAACGGCCATAGGAGGCGTCTCGTTGCCGCTGTGCTCGATGGCCAGAGCTCCAACTTCAGTGAAATCCAATGTCAAATTGTTGATATACGGTCGTTTTCTAGCTGAAGGAGAAAATCAATGAATAGCAACTTCGTTAGGCATTTAGCAAAACCATTTAAATGCATACATTAACATAGAGATATGGGCATCGGCGGCGGTGGAGGGAATGTGAGTTACCTCGAAATCCGTTGAGCTCTCTGGATCTGATGCCGTGGAAGAATGACTGAGATTTGGAGGTCTCCATTTGCGGCGATTAATGGCTAACTAAGGCTACGCGGAGAAGATAAATGGGGAGAGAAGAAGAGAGCAAATTGTGAAGAGAAAAACGAGAGTCTATGCAGGGAGGGAAATGGTTTCGTCAAATTCAATTTGGCGCGAGGGAAGTCGACCTAACCAGCGGGAAAACTCAAATTTCCCTTTTGGCGCTGCGGGTCGCAGGCTCGCAGCTCGCAGGCCTGCAGTCCTTTCTCTTTTTTTTTTTGGAGGGCCCGCAGTCACTTTTATTTTTATCTTTTATTAAAAAAATTAATTTTTTTTTTTTTAAGGTCAGGGGGTACAGTGTACTCGGTTTTTTTTTTATTTATTTAAATCAAGTAATGAATTATACCATCTATTTTTTACTTATAAATTAATTTTAAAAAATTTAAAACTTTTAATCCAAAAGATAATTAAGTGATTGACTTCTTTAATATCAAAACTTCTCTCTTTTGCAAGAAAGTTACAGCTTATTTCCTTAGTTGTACAAGGGATCACCAAATTTTGGTCTTTCCCTTTTATTTTGCCTAAGGCTATCATCGAGGAAGTTAAAAAGCTATTTTGTGTCTTTTTATGGAATGGGAATATTAACAATGCCAAAGAAGCTAAAGTTAGCATGTGAAAATTTGTTCTCCAAAGCAAGAAAGGGGCTTAGGCCTCAAAAATCTAGTGCAATGGAATAGAACCTACATGCTGCAATTTATCTATCTCCTTTTTTCTAAAGCAGGTTTCATCTGGATTGCTTGGGTTTAGGAATATTTATTGAAGAGCAAGAGCTTTTGGACAATTAGCATTCTAGCATATGCATCATGGGGGTGACGGAAATTTCTGAAGCATATCTTTGGTGATGGTGCTAGCATACACATTTGGCATGACATTTGGCACCCATTTGGTGCTTTAGTGGAGACTTATGGTGATAAAATTGTTAGAGATGCAGGAATCCCTTATCAAACAAAATTATTTGAGGTAATAAATGGCAATTTTTGGTGTCGGCCCCCAGCTCGTTCACCTCAGCTATTGGAAATCCAAGTAAAGCTTTTTGATTTGTATCGTTGGGAGGGTGAACATGACTTGGTTATATTGTTGCCCCCACCATCTGGCTCTTTTAAAATTGGAAAAACATGGCACTGACTAAGAGACAAAAAGGGCAGGACACTATGGTATAAAATAGTTTGGTTTTCACAACTAATACCAAAGCACAGCTTCATAAGCTAGGTAGCAATCCTAAACAAGTTATCTACCAAGGGTAGACAAAAGCAATGAACACCAAACATTGTTGACACATGCACACCGTGTAAAGCTTAACTAGAACAAGTGAACACCTGTTCTTCAAGTGCAGTTTTACAAAACAAATATGGCAAAGTATTAGCAGCATGATAAGTATGCCTCCTATGGACTCCTGGCACTGTTTACTCTCTTGGATAAGCAAATGCATTGGAAGGAAGTCATCATTACATAATACTTTAATCAAGCTCTCTTAGAATGCTTTTGTCTATCACATTTGGTTAGAAAGAAATAGGAGAAATCACCAAAAAGTTTTCAAGTCTGTAAATATGATTATATTTGATATCTAGTTTGAAGTTTGTAATAAAGTGTTGGGTTTTGGTAAACCAACGACATCTCCTCTTCATAGATTTATTGTTGAGCAATGGGGGTTTGAGATGGTAGTAAAGAATTGATTTGTAACTCTTGTTTTCATTTTGGAATTAATTGTCATTGTAGCAACATGGATTTTGTAGCAGCATAAGCTGCTGCTTTGCATTGTATTACAGTATCGGATGGGATAAATTTTATATTTTATCAAAAAAAAAAAAAAGATTCAAATTTGAAAAACTTACACTTTTCAATTTAAAGTTTTAAATTTTCAATAACTATTTGAGATATCTCTATAGAACTAAGTCAAATCAATTATAATTATTTTGAAATTAATTTTTTTGTCAATAAAAAACAAATCATTTACATTAATTAAAAAATTTATAAAAAATTATCATTTTCTTATGCTTTTTAAAATATCAAATCTTAAAGTATCAAATCTTAATTAACAAGAGAGGAACAAGTCTCCTCAAGAGCTAAGCCACTACTCGTGTTTATTTTCTCAACTAAAATCATTTGATAAAACTTTTACACAAGAAAAAGATTCACATTCTTTTATTTTTTTTATGATGTGAAATAGGTATGTAAAATATTAATAGATTACAAATGTTACACAATATAACTATCATACAATTTGAAAATAAGACACAAATAAATCAAGAAAAATTTTAAGAAAAACCTGCATATATGAGACTCACATCTCTCACTTAAGTTGTAGAACCTCAACTTAAGTTTTTAGACACTTTAACAAAAATTCATATAATTTTGTGCAATCTAGGTAGGTAAGTGGTTTTATAACTAATATAAAAAGTGCTTTCAACCAACAAGAGTTTTACTAAGGTGGTATTCATTAATTTAAAAACCTTAATTTGAAATTACAATAAAAAATTTAAATATTTATGATACTAACCATCTAACTTTTTAATATACTAAAAAATATAAAAAAACTTTCACACTTTTATAACAAGAGTTCAATTCTATGTTCCCTTCGCCATCCTCCTTCCTCATATAAATTTGAACGACTTAGTTTTAATACATAAGAAAAAAAAAAAAGAGTCTCTGTACACTTGACCTATGTGTCATTAACCAAACCCAAAAAAAAAAAAAAAAAAAAGCAAAAAAATGTACTCCCATTGATTGAAATACTTAAGTTAAAGGACTCAATTCGACTTTAGTTATATTTTTAGGGACTAATTCACTACTAAGGTAATTTTTGCAGACCAATAAAGCAAATTTTAATTGCGCTTCTAACACATGCCTAAAACCCTAGAAACCAAGCGCGCCGTTCTATTTGCCGCCTCTTGCTTCCTCCGTTCTCCGAAGCTCTGCAACCATGCCGAAGCACTACAGGCCTCCTGTAAGTTCTTAATCGGAACCCTAATATCGAATTCAGTCTTTCGTGTTCAATTTCTTACGCTCTCAGTTGTTTTTCTCGCGAATTTCCCAGGGAAAGAAGAAGGAAGGAAATGCTGCCAGATACGTCACCAGGTCGCAAGCTGTCAAAAGCCTTCAAGTCAACCTATCACTCTTCAGGTCCCTCTATCCTTCTCCTTCCTGTGCAGGAAAGCTATTACTTTTAGCTTTTTTAGTATGAAGGATGATCCCAGTAGGAAAGAGATGGGTTTTTTTTTGTTCCAGAAATTGATTGCTAAATCTAGGGTCTGTTGAGAATTAATCTTAGTGAACTGTGTTCATGTGTTTTACTGGGGTTTGATGTTGCAGGAAATTATGCATTCTCAAAGGAATTTTCCCCCGGGAGCCAAAGAAGAAAGTCCAAGGAAATCATCACACTTACTATCACACCAAGGATATTGCATTCATTCAACATGATCCAATGCTCGAAAAATTTAGAGAAATCAGGGCATACCAGAAGAAGATAAAGAAAGCTAAGGCCAAGAAGAATGAGGAGTTAGCGCGATCTCTGAAATCTCGTGAACCCCATGTCAAGATGGACAAGTTCATCAGGGATAGGTTTGTTAAAATCCAATGCATACTTTTTCATCATGGATGGTTCATGCCTTTCCTGACTGTATCTATTATGGTTGAAATTTTAGATATCCAACGTTCATTGATGCAATCAGAGACTTGGATGACGCTCTCTCCATGGTGCACCTTTTTGCAGCGTTGCCTGCCATAGACAGACTGAAAATTGGAGCAGAGCGCACTCATAATTGTCGAAGGTTGATATGATGAGACCAGAAAAAAATTTTTTTTTTTTCACTAAATAATCACGTAATTTGCCATTCTTATTCTTGCTCATCTGTTAACTTTCTAGGTTGTGTCATGCATGGCAAGCCTACATTTCTCGCACTCATAAGTTGCGAAAAGTCTTCATATCTGTAAAGGGCATATATTACCAGGTTATTTACTTTTATGAGACTCTTCTTTTTTTCTTTCTTTCTTCTTCTTTTTTTTATTTTTTATTTTTTATTTTATGTGTGTATATATTCTGCATATTGTTTTTGCAACTTTAATGTATCTTTATTGTTCATCTATGCAGGCTGAGGTTGAAGGTCAAAAGATCTTGTGGTTAACCCCTCATCCCTTACAGCAAGTTCTGACAGAGGACGTTGACTTCGATGTCATGCTAACCTTCTTGGAATTCTATGAGGTTATAATTTGAGTTCTCCTGGGTCATTTTCTGTTTGTTATGATCTTATTCTAGGTTTAGGGTCTAGAGATTGGGGAATTTGCTGATCTTTTGGGTTTGAAATTCATTTTTTCTCTTTCATCTCCATTTTGTTTCACCTTAAATATTTATCTTATACTTTCTTCAGGGTTTAGGGATTGGCTTTGCTTGCTTATCTCTTTCTTATTGGTGCAGACACTCCTTGGATTCGTTAATTTCACACTATATCATTCCATAAATTTGAAGTATCCTCCAATTCTTGATCCTCTATTGGAAGCAGTGGCAGCAGGTGAGCCTTTGGCTTTAATCAACAGTTTTGCTATTTTCTTTTTGTCAAAACTTATTGTAACTTCATCCTCTTGCTTTTTTTAGTTAAAAATAATATATTATGCTTTCTGTATTCTGCAGATCTTTATGCATTATCAAGATACATTGATGCTGGCTCTAGAGCCTCCCTGCCCGAACCTCAAACTGCTAGTTCATCTAGGTCTGAGCAAGAAGCACAGGAAGAGTCTGAGTTAAGACTTGCCCAACTTCAACATCAGCTGCCTACCAATGAACCTGGTGCACTGATGCATCTTGTTCAAGATACCACCAGCGAAGTCGAAGAAGATGAAGATACAAGGGAGTGCAAGAAACTCTTTCAAAATATGAAATTTTTCTTGGGCCGTGAGGTGAGATTGATATTTCATTGATGATGAATTTTTTGTCATAATGATGTAGAGTTGTGTTTCCCTTTTGTTCTCAGAACTGCTTACTTTCATGTTAGTGGCCATGACAATGTAGTGGACTCATAAAGTTCTGAAAGTTAAAATATTTGTTATGGCATAGTTTTACAATTTTGCTGTTGAAAATAAGCTATTTCAACAATGGTTCTGTTTCTTTACTCCACTTTGGTGTTGGAGCGATTTTTAATCCTCATTTTTCAGGTTCCAAGAGAGTCATTGCTTTTTGTCATTCCTGCTTTTGGTGGTGTTGTTTCTTGGGAAGGGGATGGTGCACCATTCAAGGAAGCTGATAGCAGCATTACTCATCAGGTTTGCCATTAAAGAGACATAGTGTTTATGAGTACTTGCCGATCATGTTTCAGGGATTTTTGTTCTTAATGATTGTTCATGTTTGTGTAGATTGTTGACAGACCAACTCAGGGTCATATGTACCTTTCAAGAGATTATATTCAACCCCAGTGGGTTTATGACTGTGTAAATGCACGGATCATATTACCAACTGAGCCTTATATGGTTGGGAGGTAACCTTTGGGTGCTTGCTCTTGTAGTATTTTTGTGTTACATAATGGCAGTCGTCAGTTGTGATATTGTTATTGGGTAATCTGCATACTCACTGATGACTGAACTGATACCTATATCTTTCTTCCAACAGGGTTCCACCACCACACTTGTCACCGTTTGTTGATGATGAGGCTGAAGGTTATGTTCCTGACTATGCCAAGACCATTAAACAGTTGCAGGCTGCTGCCAGAAATGACGTCCTACCATTGCCCGGTGTGGGGAAGGATGATCTGGATGACCCTCAAAATCTATTGGCTGAGGGGTATATCAACAGAACTGAGGCTAATGAAGCTGCTGAGAAGAAGCGCAAGGTATTTAACCTAAGTTATTGACTGGCTGCATTCTTGGGCAAAATATTGTTTCAATTATTATGTTGCTCCCACTAGTTGTCTTATAATTGCTCAAGACGTTTGCTACTGCCCCTATTAATCACGTGGCAATTTGATTGGTTACAGATGATGCTTTACGAGAAGCAGTATCACAATGAGTTGAAAATGGAAATTCAGGTTGACTTGAATATAAATGAGCAAAACTCTAAAGAGATGGACTTGAAGGAAGAATCTCTTCCTGATATGGAACAAATTGTTAAGGATTCTGATGCTCATTCCAAGGCACTAATGTCACGTAGAGAGAGAGGACTCTATGAAGCCATCAAGGTAACTTTTCCTGTTTTCCCCTTTCTTTTCCTTGTTTGAGTTGAAATGCTGAATGCATAGTTACAACCTTGAACAATCAACATGGCTATTCATACCTCTAAGCAACTTTTATTCAGATTGGATGCAATCTATTGGTCTTTATTAAATCATAAACTCAAAATTTGAATTTGTTAATTGAGTGGATCATGATAATCTTATTTTGTTTTGGTGATTTATGAATTGGGTTCTCTTTCTATTTTGTTCAGATTGGAAAGGAAAGGAAGAAGGCTCATGTAGAAAAGCTTAAGGAGCGAAAGAGAAATATCCAAGAAGCCCAGAAATCTGATAAGAAACAGAAAAGAGCTTAGATTTTTCTTCACTTAGTTTGTTAATTTACGAGGCTAATTGTTGTTTTAAGTTGAACATTGCCATCTTTGTTGGCTAAGATTTTGCTGAAGTATCCTATGTACGATTTTTTAAATGTTCAGTATACAAAATTCTTAAAGTTGACTGTTGGACTGTTTTATTGTTCAAACTGAATAGCCGAGTGTTTTACCATTAACAGGTTTATTTTTTATTTAAAAATTTACATTTTATAATTCAATAAATTGGTAAAAGGTAGTTTTTAGAAATTGTTATGCTTTTATTTTTCAACGTCCAACTTTTTTTCCACGTGATTTTTATTAGAATAATAACAGGGAGAGTGGAAACTTAAAATGAAAATTTAAGATTAATAATGTGATTTATGTCATATTATTAAATTAATTAGTAGATATATAATATTATAAAATTAAAAAATATAAAGAGTTAATTAATAAGTAGTATAAAATTTATTTTTTTAATATTTTAAATTAGTTATTAGCCTTACATTTTTATCTCATTTATTATTGGTTTTTTTTTTTTACTATTATTTCTATACTTTTTGTTTTTCATTTTTCAACCGTCTATTATTGCCTGCTGGTAAATAAAATCGAGCCAACGGTAAAGGAAAAAGGTAGGTTTAATTTAATGTAAAAATTAATAAAAAACGCGATTTGCAATTGCAACACGTGGCCCAAAAGAGAAACGAAGGGGTAAGTCTACACGACATCGTCTCAGCTCACTCTCTGTCTCTGCCCAATTGCCGCGCGCACCCTGGCCTTGGTGCTCGGAATTCAGATCACCGTTACAACCCGCTGTAAGGGACGCCCTTCGCCGGCGAAACGTTTCGATCAAGAAAACGCAGAGCTGGTTCTCGGAATCTCTCCGCCACACTTAAAAGGTAACATTCTCTCTCGTAAAATACCTGATTCTTCTATGTCTGTTTTAGATCATCACCATTGACAATACGAAAATATGCACCATTTTACTCTCACAAAACTGAAACCATTCATGCTGTAGATATACATAACAAACTCAATCCCTGGTAACATCAACATGAAATTTTATACAAAAGGCGAAAACAATATCTTCCATTCCTAATATCTATCATCTAAACATTCCGTGATTCTCAGTACTTGTGCTCGTCTAGTTTCTCACTCAATTTTTCCACCTGAGGAGATGCACAACTAAAGGCCTTTTTCACCTTGGAAATTGAATGCTTGACCTTTGACCCAACACCCGAGAGGATGCTATGAGATTTCTTATGTGCAACCTTGATGCTGATATCTCTAGGTGCTTCAACCATGATAGGAGAATCAGGGTCAGAATCCATCTTCTCGTGTTTGTTTCGTTCCTCTCGGTCTTCCTTCTCTTCATCTGTTTTTGCTTCTTTGACTTGAATGGTTTCTGCTTCTTCAACTTTCAATTTTTCTTTGCTTGCTGTTGGATGTCTCGCTTCAGTCATTTCTTTTGCCATTTGCAGAGTTTCTTTTCTGGATTTCTGAAGGAGGTTAGCTAATGAAATGTCCTCAGCCGGTGTGGGCTCCTCAATTGCTTCTGTTTTTTTCACTCCTCCATGTTCACCTTCTTTCCTTTCTGCGTAAATCCCCTTATCCTTTCCAGGTTCCAAATCTCTTACTTCAGCTGTCTCAGAGGTTTCTGCAACAACATCCTTCTTTTCCAGTTGAGCAAGTTCATTGCCAGTTGAAGCTGTTGTTCCTGTGCTCTCGACCAGTTCTACTTTCCTTGGAGTCTGCTTATCAGATGCTTCATTAGCCATTTTCTCTATCTGCTGAACATCATGAATGATCTCAATGGCTTCTCCAAGGCACTTGGTGCTTCCTTTTTCTGATATTGCTACACCTGATTCCTGATATAAGACGAAACATGAGGCTGCTTAGCTTGATGTTTTTATAAGTTATTTTCTTTAATTTATGATCTTTGGGTTCCATGTGTGGTTTTTGAAAAGATTGAAGGAGTTAGAGGAGATTTAAAAGAAAAAAGACATATAAAAATAAAACTAACTCCTGATCTTTAAGTTCCTTGTCTTTTATTATCTTTAAGTTACTTTTTATTTCTTGTTGCAGTAATATATGAAAAGAAGTTATGTTTTCTGTAAAGGATTATAGCAAATATCTAGGTAGGAAGGAGATTAAATGCAGTCTAACCTCTTTCCTAACAGGAGTGGTTGCTGTCATGACGACTGAAGAATTGTTGTCTGGTTCCTTAATGCTTCTGTCTTCAGCTAGGATTTCTTCATCATTATTGTTTGCATTGACCTTTTGGGTTTCCTCCAACAGCTGTTTACAAATAAAAGCTTTGACTTAATGTGAAGAGAGGAGCAAGAGGAACAAGAGAACAAGATGAATAATTTGAGTGATTTAATTCCTCATTCCTTACCTCTTCATTTTGAATTCTGTTTGTTGTGGTTTTAAATGTTGCATTGTTCTCATTGCCTAGAACCTTCAGCTGGTCTTCTTGGTCACTAGCTTTCGCTGATTCTTCTGAGAGGGATGTCTGGTGAAATGTTTGAGCAACTTCTTTGTCTTCCATAATCTGTCATTTTTCTTCCGCAGTTAATACTTTCGTTGTTAAGTGAATGGAAAAATTAGAGCAGAAGAGAAAGAAAAAGAAGAGGAACAAGAAAATGCTTGAAATTAAGAGGTTTAAGTTTGTTATTGCTAACCTCTTTGGAATCTCCATTCTTCTTGGGTTCATCTCCTTGTATTGTTTTCCACTTGTCTTCCAAAGATAATGCAGGAGCCAAGATTTGAAGTTCCTCAGAATGCTCAACTGAAAAAGTCTGACCAGCAGCAGTTTTGTCCTTTGCAACAGCTTCAAGCTTGTTTGGCTCTTCCATTTGAAAGCATGTCACTTTTGTTTTCGTCTCAACTGGAGGATTTTCACAACTCTCATCTTCTAGCTTTTCTTCCTCTTTCATTTTCTGTTCTTGTAGCTTCTGAACTGATCTCTTAGTTTCATTCTCCCATGATTCCTCTACTTGCAGGGCCTGTTCAGCAATGATTTCTTCTTCCGGAACATCTTCAAGCTCCTTGGGCCCTTTCTTTTCAGAGAATTTATCTTCTGTTGACTTTACTTCAGAAAGCTTCCTTTCAAGCACTTCCTCTTCCTTCAATTTTCCTTCTCCTAAATCTTCGCTGCGGGTTGTGGTTCCAAGCTTCTCTTCCTCCAGTGGCAATGCAGAGGATGGAGTCTGAATATTCTCTGCTAGCACTGGAGTATGAGCAAAAGTAATTTCATCCTTTCCAACACCTTCCAGCTCCTGCAGCATTTCCTTTGCTAAGAATATATCCTCTGCTCCTTTTTCTTTTGGCTTTCCTGCAGAAGAGTCCTTTTCTAGCCTAACTTCCTTTGTTTTCTCTTCTTCATTGACTTTGGAGGTACTTCCATGCTCCTGTTCCTCAGAAGACATTGTGGATGAAGCAGTTGGAAGTTGCTTCTCTGTTAGTAGAGTTTGATCAGATTCAATTTGATCTTTTCTAACTGCTTCAGACTCCTGAAGCCTTTCATTTTGCAAGAGTATATCTTCTGCCTTTTCTGCATCCAAAAGATCTTCTTGGTTCTCATCTTCCAGAATTTCTGCCTCCTTTGTTTTCTCTTCTTCAATATTCTCTACTGTAGTGGCACCTTTACACTCTTTTTCCTTGGAAGGCAATGCAGAGGTTGCAATCTGAATCTTTTCCCCTAGTTTCTCTTCCACAACAGTCTGATCAACTGTAGTTTTATTTTCTAGAGCTGCGTCAAGCTCTGGGGATTCCTTTTGCAGGCATAAATCCCTCATTTTCTTTGCATCTGAAGCATCTTCTGCACTCTCATATTCTATAATTTCTGCTTCCTCTCTTTTCTGAGAAAAAAGTATTTCTTCTTTCCTAACTGCTTCCAACTCCTGAAGCGTTCCCTTTCCCAAGAGTACATCTTCTGCTTCTTTTGCATCAACAGCATATTCTTGATTCTCATCTTCTAATAGTTCTGCTTCATTTATTTTCTGTTCTTCAAAATCCTCAACTGTTGTAGCACCTTCAATCTCCATTTCCTTGGAAGGCAATGCGGAGTTTGCAATCTGAATCTCCTCCTCTGATTTCTCCTTCACAGCAGTCTGATCAGCAGTAGATTCATTTTCTATAATTGCTTCAGGCTTTGTAGACTGCTTCTGTGGGCATAAATCTTTCATTGTCTCAGAATCTGAAGCATCTCTAGCGCTCACATCTTCTATGGTTTCTGCTTGCTCTTTTTTGTTGTCTTCTGTCTTACCAATTATCACTGCTTCATGTCCCTCTTCTTGAAGCTGCTGTTCTGATTTCTCTGCTGGAAAGGTCTGACCATCCATATTCTCAACTGTAGTGGCACCTTCAAACTCCTGTTCCTTGGAATGCAATGCAGGGATTGCAGTCTGAATCTGTTCTTCTGATTTCTGTTTCATGATAGCCTGATCAGCAGTAGTTTCATGTTCAATAACTGCTTCAAGTTCCATCGACTCCTTCTGCAGGCAAAAATCTTTCATTGTGTTTGAATCTGAAGCATCATTTTCACCCTTATCTTCTACAATTTCCACTTCCTCTTTTTTATCATCTTCAGTCTTCTTAGCATTGATCCCCAATTTGTGCTCCTCTTCTTGATGCTGCTCTTCTGATTTCTCTGGTGAAAAAGTCTGACCATCAGTATCCTCAACTTTTTCTAAACCTTCACCCTTCTGTTCATTGGAAGGCAATGTGGGGATTGCAATCTGAATCTGTTCCTCTGATTTTTCTTCTTCGAGTGTCTGATTTTCAGTAGTTTCACTTTCTATAACTGCATCAGGTTCTGTCGACTCCTTTTGCAGGCTCAAACCTTTCATTGTCTTTGAATCTGAAGAATCTTCTGTGTTCTTGTCTTCTATGGTTTCTGCTTCCTCTATTATATTCCCTTCTATCTTCTCACCAATGATCCCTGTTTCATTGTCCTTTTCTTGAACCAGCTGTTCTGATTTATCTGCCAAAATGCTCCAATCATTTGTATTCTCAACTTTCATTGCACCTTCACCCTCTTCTTCTTTGGAGGGCAATGTAGAGATTGCAATTTGAATCTGTTCCTCTGCTTTCTTCTCCATGGGAGCCTGATCAGGTGTATTTTCGTCTCCTGGGACTGCTTTAGGTTCAATGTGATCCTTTTGGAGGCATAAATCTTCCACTGTCTTTGAATCTTTATCATCTTGTGCACTCTCATCTTCTATAATTGCTACTTCCTCTTTTTGATCATCTTCTAACTTCTTAGCAGTGATTGCTGCTTCATGCTTCTCTTCTTGAACATGCTTCTCTGATGTCTCTGCTGAAAAGTTCTGGCTGTTGGTATTCTCAACTGTAGTTGCACCTTCACACTCCTGTTCATCGGAAGGCAATGCAGAGATTGCAATCTGACTCTGTTCCTCCGATTTCTCTTCCTTGGAAGTCTGATTGGCGGCAATTTCATTTTCTTCAAATGTTTCAGCCTCTGTGGAATCCTCTTTCATGCATAAATCTTTCACTGACTCTGCTGGATCTGCATTGTCATCTTCTATGATTTCTGCTTCCTGTTTTTTATCATCTTCAATCTTCCTAGCAATGATCATTGTTTCATGCTCCTCTTCTTGAACCTGCTGCCTTGGTTTCTCTGCAGCAAACTTTTGACTATCAGTAGGCTCATGTTTCACAAAGACCTTGCTTGAATCTTCATTAATCTCAGCTTCTAGCTTTCCTTCTTCCTTCTCAACTGCTTTGGTATTTCCATTTTCCTCTGTTTCCTCTCCTGGCAGAACCTGACTGACAATAATTTCTTCTCTAACTGTGCTGCTGGAATCTTCTAGCTCTTCTTTTTCTTTCCCAACTGCTTTAGTATTTACATTTGCATCTGATTCCTCTGCTGGCAGCACCTGACCAGCAATAATTTCTTTTTCTATAACAGCTCCAATCTCTGTGGGTCCTTCCTCTTTCTTCATTCTTTCTTCTTCCATATCATCAACTTTGGTTTTAGTCCCATGCTTTGGGTCTTCATAAGGCAACGTGGATGATGGGGCTGAAATTTCCTCATTTGATTTCTCTACAAATGGGCTTTGAGCAGCCACAGTTTCATAGTTCCAATCACCTTCAAGCTCCTGAGGCTCTTCTTGTTGAAGGTGTATTTCTTCTGTTTTCTTTGCATCACAAGAATCTTCTGGACTTCCACCTTCCAATATTCCTGTGCCTGCTGTTTCTTCTTCTTCTATCTTCTCAATGGTGACTGCAGCTTCACTCTCCTGTTCCTTGAAGAGAATTGCAGAGCTTGTTGTCTTAATCTGTTCGTCTAATTTATTTTCTGTTAGGCTCTGACCAGTAGTGATATCATCTCCTGTGACAGTTTCTAAATTTGTTGGGCCTTGGAAGCATCCCTCTTCTTTTTTGTTTGCATCTGAATAGTCATCTGGAGTCTGATCCATCAGGATTGCCACTTGCTTCCTCTCATCATATTCTGTCTTCCCTGCCATATTTGCTGTTCTGTACTCCTGTCCCTCAGAAGGCAAGACAGAAGATGTAGTCTGAATTTTCTCCTCTGATTTCTCTGCTGGGAAAACCTGACAAACCGTAATGTCTTCTTCTGAGACAGCTTTAGGCTCTCTTTGTTCTTCATTTCTCAAGCATACATCTCCTGATGTCTTTGCATCTGAAAAATCTGAAAAATCTTCTGGACTCCCAGTTTCTAGCATCTCCTTGTCCTCCTCTTGCTCTTCCTTTTCCTTCTCAATGGTTATAGTTCCTATCTCCTTGTTATCAGAAGGCAATCTGGAGAATGGAGTTTGAAGTTCCTCCTCTGATTTCTCTTCTGGGAGAGCCTTGTCAAATGCAATATCATCTTGTTTAGCAAATTGAGATTCTAAAACTGCTGCAGTCTCTTCATTTGGGCTTTTCCTGGTTTCTGCTTTCTCTTCAGTACCCTTGTCTTGGGGCTTATAAATTGCATCTGAAACTAATATCTCTTTTCCCAATTCAACTGTATGTGAAGTTTCCACAGTTCCATCCAGATTTTCCACAGTTGGGCTTTTCTCGGCTTTATCTGTCTCTTTAGCACTCTGTTCTCTGGAAATGTAATCTGCACCAACATCTCTATCAATTACCTCAGTTTTATCCTTAGTAGCCTTTGACTCACATTCACTAGTTGAGATTCGGGATGCCAAGTCAGAAGAAGTGGCTTGAAGTTTATCATTCTCAACTTCGTTACTCTCTTGATTAGCATCACTTTTAGTTGTTTCTGGATTTGCATTGTCAGAGCCAACATTTAATGTGTTTTCTATCTTGTCATCTAGCTCACTGCTCCTTAAGCTTATATCTGCTTCTACTGTTGTCAGAGGTGCAGTATCGGTCTGGTTGTGACAAATGTCTGACTCCGCTGTGATCTCCTTGTTGATCTTTTCTTCTGACTCTTCACCTTGTTCAACAAACTTGGTCAAAGGCATCTCACCATTGCCATCATGTTCTCTTTCTTCTAATTCTTTTGTAGTGTGGGATACTTCTCCCCCAGTGACAGGATCATGTCTCATGTGGGTGCTTTCTGCATTCATCGGCTCTTTGAATTCTGCCCCTTCAACACATTCAGTGGAGATTGGACTGTAGTCTTTAACCTGAAAATACACAAGTAACTAATTGAATAAAATGCAGCATGTGAAAAACATTTGAATTAACATTCTTTATGCATTTTTGGAGCTTACCTTATGCATTGTTTTGTCTCCTATTGAAGCCATGAGAAAGTTGTTTCTGCTACATTCTTCCTCTTTGACATGTTCTTTAATGTTTTCACTGTCATCAACTTTCCTAACTTCCTCATCAACCTGATAGATGTTATGTCAACATAACAGATCAAACTCAATGCAATGATCATGAGAAAAAATACATGCCTGTATATTTTTACCTCTTTAGATAAGATAACAGCCTTGTTGAGCTCATTTTCACTTTGTTCTTTATCAATAGGATCTTCACTCTTTAATTCAGTTTCTGTTTCCCCTTCTTTCTCATTTTCAGCTTCTTGATACTGGATGTCAATGGTGTTTTCTCCCTTCTGGCTCTTGTTGGAATCAATGATTGTTTCATTGCTTTGATCTTCATCCATTGACTCAGGTACGTGTTTGAGCTTCTGATCAAATTCCTCTGGTTCAAGATTCTGTTCCAAACTAATAATTAGTAGAGGTCTTAACATTGTCTTTTGAGTAAAATGAAACATTTAGTTATTGTTATTATTATGTTTTTTTTTTGGTACTTGAGGAAGTTAGTGTGCTTAGCCATTGTACAGATTGGAACCCATGACCTTGACCCCAAATCAAAATTTTGATTTTGGTGGTTCCTAATCAGCTTTGGTCTTGTTGGTAAGTGACAGATATGGTTAGAATGTTTCTTCATAGATTAAATGATAAATAAGATTATCTGAATAACTATATTGTTTGTTATCTTATCATATGAAATGGAGAAAATAGGGAAGCAAGTATGTTACTAATGTCCTGTCATTAAATTGGAGAGAAAGCAGTAACTATTGATCTGACCTCTTCTGTTTGCAATGCTTCATCATTGATGTTGTTGACGTCGTGTATCTGGTTGGATCTTTCTAATTCAATATCTTCCTTCACTATATCAGTATCATCCTTCAAGCTTCCTACCAAGTTGGTATAATAATTGTCTGGCTTGTCAATATCCTTTTCACCATCCTCTCTTATACCAGAAGGTTCAATACACTTTACATCCTCATCAATTGGCTTTTCATGCTCACCTTCCTCTCTAGTTTCTTTCCCTTTAGAGACTTCTGCATCTTTTGTTTTGGAGATATATGTTTCAGTTGACTGCTCAGTGTGGAGATCTCGATCCTCACCTGTGTGTTTCTTGATTTCATCTACACTCTCCTCTCCCGTATCTACAATCTCAAGTAAAGGGACAGCTATTGGATTGGAGAGATTATCTGCTTTTTGCAACATCTCTTCTAATCCAGGTGAAATGGAATGAGTTTCTGAGGTTTCACATGGATCTTGAATTTTCACTGAAGTTTCATTTATTTCCCTTGCTTCATTGGATGTGGAACTATGTTCTTTCAATGGCACTACAAAATTTTTCTTCAAGTCATCTTCCAATATTTCTTTTAAGGAAGCATCCTTTGTGGTAACCTCTTTCACTGAGTTTGAAGTCTTATCTTGCATTTCATTTTCTGCTGATGGAATCTCCTCGTCCTTCTCAAAAGAATTGGAGGAATCCTTTTTCACATTGATGTCAACATTGTCCAGGTTAACTTCTTTGGTTTCTGTTGCAGCCAGGCCTCTCTCTTCTAAGGAAAGATCAGATCCTCCTACCTTTGTATTATCTTCTGGTTCAGCTTCCTTTATTTTTGTTTCTTCAATTGCTGCCACAATGGATTCAGAATCACTAATATTTGTTCTTTCAGTTTCTAAGAGTTCTTCAGTGTCCTTACAGACTTCTGACTTGAAGGAAGATTTCTGAACAAGGTCTTCTACTGTTTCTTCCAGTATTATTTCCTCTTTTCCTTCCTCTGTAATATCAAGAAGACCCTGGTCATTCTTTGGATCTGGCCTGTCCTCTGTGATCTGAGGGGTTATTTCCACCACAGAACCTGTTTCCTCAATATCTCTCACAAGGGCTGAACTTGAGTCACTGATCTGTAAGACAATTGAATCTTTAAATTAATAACTGAGAATAGATGGTCAAATATAGTTTTTGGATGCTCTTACTTACCACTTCTTTTAAGTTGATGGGGCAGGTTTCATCTTCCTTCGAGATTTCCTCCACAATTTCATCTTTAGTTGATGAAGAGAGGTCAGGTTCATCATTTTCTATTTTGCCCAGATTTTCTCTGCTTGGTCCTGACTCTGCTGTTATGTCTGCTTCACATACCTATGTGAGAAAAACCACAGTGAGATTCTATAAACCTATCTTAGTGAGATAAGGGTAATCATCCTATAAATCAGAATATCATAGTATGACTTCTTAACAAAATGCAAAAGATGTCATTGACCTTTTATTCAAAACAATTGGAAATGATAATAATTGGTTGTCTCCACCCTCCTACCCTCTGTATAATCCCAGGGAGGAGGGGGTGGGTGGGTGGGGAGAAATTGCTTCAAATAACCAGAATTTGTACTTCTTGTCCCTTCTTTTGTTAAGATTTTCTTGACAAGATTTATTATCTACATCATGAATAGATCCTTGGAAAGCATATGTTAACCTAAGTAAACTATGCACTCTAGTTAGGACAATGGCCATGTTGCCAGCCACAACTACTAAACGTTAAAATTTCCATATAGCAGACCTCTTTTTCTGGTTCTGTTTCCTTATTTTCCTTCACCAGAGATCCCCCTTTATCAGTTACTCTTGCAGGCAAATTGAAGTTGTCACCAGCCTTGCTGCTGTCATCCTTCGTTTTCTGTGTATCAATGTCCTCACCTTCATGAGTGGCTTGATTTTCCTGAAATGAATACAGTGAAGTAAGGATATCAATAACAAGTTGTTTAACCCAGAGTTAAAAGAGGAGCTGTTCATACAATCTACTAACCCCTTTTTCTGTCATTATTTGTAGAGCATTTTCTTCGTTAGAGCTCTCTTCTGTTGTATCTGGAATTTGTGTTGACTGGTGCTTGCTAATTTCTTCATCCACAAACATATGTTGTTCACCATCCCCTAATGTGTTGGCCATTTCAAGTTGTTCACGTACCTGGCAAAAAGTGAAAGTTCACCTTTTTGTATCTAATTTGAAGGAAAGAATATAAATTGTTGGATCCTGAAATTTTCAACTAAAGCTTATGAATAAGGCTCTTAAATCTCTAAATGTGTTTTGAACAAAACCTCTATTTCAGGCATCATTTTTTCTGTTTTTGCTCCTTCAAGACTCTCATGTGATTCTTCTACAATTGACTCTGGTGAGGTATCTCCAATATGATATTCTTCATTTACGATGGACTGCTCTGTGTCCTCTTCCTTATCTTCAATTTTAGCGCTTTCATGTACCTGGATGATAGATAGGGGTATAAATAACCTCAAAAACAGCTATGAAGATTTCATTTTTCCTTCTAAAATGAAAATAGTGGGATTAAGTGTTAATTATCCTCCCAAACACAGACCTTCTCAGCTTCTTCATTCTTTGTATTAACTTCTCTGTGCTCCATTTCATTTTCATATTCTGTTTTTTCTTGAGAGTCTAGTTTGTATGCATTTGTGAATGCTTCTACCTCCATTTCACCCACTTTTGTGTCCTGTTGGGAGATTATGCTCTCCTTGCTCGCATTGGATGTCTCAGTATCTAGTTTGAGATCCTACAATGTGGATATGATTACATCGTTATTAAACTATTTCTTGCATTAAGAAATGTCATCATTTTCTTAATGGGAAGTTGGATGTTAAGACATGCCAGAAAATTTAAGACATTATTTTTTACCTCCTTTGTGGTGCCATTTTCTTCAATGCTATTGTTATCTATTGAACCTTCTTTCTCATTTCTAACTTCTTGGTTCTCAGCATCAAAGATATTTTCTTCCTTTTCACTGTTGTTGGAATCAAGGATTGTTTCATTGCTTTGATCCTCATCTATTGACTCCGCTTCATGTTTGAGCTTCTGATCAAATTCCTCTGGTTTAAGACTCTGTTCCAAATTGATAATTAGTAGAGGTCTCAACATTGTCATTTTTAATAAAATGAAACATTTGGTTCTCTCTTCTTCTTTTTTCTAGTGCTTGAGGTAGTTGATTTGCTTAGCTATTGTAGAGGTTTAAACCCGTAATCTCAAACTGAAGTTTTTATGTTAGTGGATTCTTACTCAACTGCTCTTATTCGTAAATGAAATATATAGTTAGAATGATTTTTCATAGATTATATGATAAATAAGACTATCTAAATAACTATAGTGTCTCTTTTGCTATTATACACTCATATGGAAATGGAGAAAATAGGGAAGCAAGTATATTGTTAATGTTCCGTCATTAAATTGGAGAAAAGGGAGTAACGATTGATCTGACCTCTTCTATTTGTGATGCTTCATCAATGATGTTGTTGACCTCATTTATTTGGTTGGATCTTTCTAATTTGGTTGCTTCGTTTTCTACATCAATATTATCCTTCAAGCTTCCTGCTAAGTTGGTAGAAGAATTGTCTGGCTCATTGACATCCTTTTCATCATCCTCTCTTATACCAGAAGGTTCAATGCACTTTGCAGCCTCATCAGTTGGCTTTGCATATTCACCTTCATCTCTAATTTCTTCCCCACCAGAGATTTCTGCATCTTTTGTTTTGAAGATGTATGTTTCAGTTGACTGCTCAGCATGGAGATCTTGATCCTCAGCTGCGTGCTTCTTGATTTCATCTACTCTCTCCTCTCCAGTATCTACAGTCCCAAGTAAAGGAACAGCTATTTTATTGTAGAGATTTTGCTCTTTCTGCATAAACATCTGTTCTACTCCAGGTGAAATGGAATGACTTTCTGAGGTTTCACATGAATCTCGAATTTTCTCTGAAGTTTCATTTATTTCCCTTTCTTCAGTTGATTTGGGACCAAGTTCTTCCAATGGCACTTCAGAATTTTCCTTCAAGTCACCTTCCAATATTTCTTTGAAGGGAGCAACCCTTGTGGTAACCTCTTTCTGATCTTCACCTACTGATTCTGAAGTCTCATCTTGCATTTCATTTGCTGCTTTCGGAATCTCCTTCTCCTTCTCAAAAGAGTTGGAGGAATCCTCTCTCGCATTGGCATCCACACTGTCCAGGTGACCTCCTTTGGTTTCTGTTGCAGCCAGGCCTATCTCTTCTATAGGAAGTTCAGATCCTCCTACCTCTGTATTATCTTCTGGATCAGCTTCCTTTACTTTTGTTTGTTCTGTTGCTGCTGCAATGGATTCAGAGTAACAAATGTTAGATCTTTCTTTTTCTAAGAGTTCTTCAGTGTCTTTACAGACTTCTGACTCGAAAGAAGAGTTCTGAACAAGGTCTTCTTTCATTTCTTCCAAAATTATGCCCTTGTTTCCTTCCTTTGTGATATTAAGGGGATGTTGGTCATTCTTTGGCTCCGGCCTGTCCTCTGTTGTCAGAGGGGCTGTTTCCTCCACTGAACCTGTTTCATCAATATTTCTCAGGATGGCTAAACTTGAGCCGCCAACCTGTAAAACAATTGAATCTTTAGGTTAATGACTAAGAATTTATGGTCAAAAAAAGCTTTTGCAAGTTGTAGCTAACCACTTCTTTTAAGTTCATGGGGCTGCTTTCGTCTTCCTTTGAAATTTTTCCCTCTGCAACTTCATCTTTAGTTGATGAAGAGAGGTCAGGATGGTTATTTTCCTCTATGCCGAGATTTTCCATGCCTCTTTCTGAGTCTGGTGTTATGTCTGCTTCATGTACCTATGTGAGAAAAGAAACACCATAAGACTCTATATCCCTATCTGAGTAAGATAAAGGTAACCGACTCATATACATCAGAAGAATGTAGTATGACTTCTTAACAGAATGCAAAAGACACTATTGACTTTTATTCAAAACCTCTCCTCAGCTCCTGCCCCTTTTAAATCCCAGGGGAAAAGAGGGTGTTGGGGGAATAACTTCCTTGCTCCAAATAAGCAGATTGTAGTTCTTCTCTCTTGTTTTGTGAAGATTTTCTTCACAAAATCTATTTTCTATGTCATGACTAGATCTTTGAGAGGCATGTACTAACTTAAGGAAATTCTGTTTGCCAACCCCAAATACCAAACTTTAAAATTGCCACATAGCAGACCTCTTTTTCTGGTTCTCTTTCCTTATCTTCCTTCTCCAGAGACTCCTCTTTATTGGTTACTCTTGCAGGTGCATCAAAGTTGTTAGCACCTTTGCTGCTGCCATCACTTGTTTTCTGTGTATCAATGTCCTTACTTTCTTGAGTGACTTGATTTTCCTGAAATGAATCAAGTGCAGTGAAGTAAGGAAATCCATACCCACTGTCCTTTTTATGGAGTATGTATCACTTTTGTCTTATTGTCTCCAATGATGCTATCTCAGTGTTCAAAAATCTGAATATGTGTGTGTGCGTATGTTTTTGCGTGCTTTGATGGATGGCCCAAGTTCAAAATTATAGAATGACCCAAAAGTTCTTAGATGAGTGTTTATATAGTCTACTTACCTCTTTCTCTGTCATTATTTTTACAGCATTTTCTTCATTAGAGTCCTCTTCCATTTTATCTGTAAGTCGTGTTGACTGGTGCTTACTAATTTCTTCCTCCACAAACATAAGTTTTTCACCATCGTCTGATGTGGTGGTTGTTTCAAGTTGTTCATGTACCTGAAGAAAAGTGAAAGTTAATTTAAAGGAAGGAATACAGATTGTTGAATCATGAAGTTTTCATCTTAAGCTCACAAAGAAGGTTCTTAAATTTCTAAATGTGTTTTGGGCCAAACCTCTATTTCAGGCATCTTTTCTTCTGTTTTTGCTTCTTGGAGGCTCTCATGTGATTCTTCTCCAATGGCTTCATCATTTATTGTGGACTGCTCTGTATCCTTGTCCTTATCTTCAATTTTAGCTCCTTCATGTACCTGCGTGATGGATAGGGTATAACCTCAACAACAGCTATAGAGATTTCTTTTTTCCTTCAAAAAAAAAAAAAAATAGTGGGATTAAGTGTTAATGATCTTCCTGAATCAGACCTCCTCAGCTTCTTCCTTCCTTGTGTTAACTTCTATGTCCTTCATCGCATCTTCATGTTCTGTTTTTTCTTGCGAGTCAAGTTTGTTTGTCTTTGTGAATGCTTCTAACTCCATTTCACCCACTTTTGTGTCGTGTTGGGAGATTATGCTCTCTTTGCTTGCTTCAGATGTCTCAGCTTCTAGTTTGAGATCCTACAATGTGGATATGGTTATATAATTATTAAAATATATCGTGCATTAAGAAATGTCATCATTTTTGTAGTGGAACTTGGATGTTATGACATGATAGAAAATTTAGGACTTATTCCTTTTTACCTCCTTCGTAGTGTCATTTTCTCTGATGCTATTCTTATCTATTTCCCCTTTAACTTTCTCATTTTCCTCTTCTTTCTCATTTTCAGCTTCTTGATTCTGAGCATCAGTGGTGTTTTCTTCCTTTTGGCTCTTGCTGGAATCAAGGATTGTTTCATTGCTTTGATCTTCATTCTTTGAGTCAGTTTCGTGCTTGAGCTTCTGATCAAATTCCTCTGGTTCAAGATTCTGTTCCAAACTGATAATTAGTAGAAGTCTCGAAATTGTCCTTCTGAATAAAACAAAACATTTAGGTTTTTTTTTTTTTTTTTTTTTTTTTTTGCTTAGCTATTGTTGAGGTTTGAACCAATGACCTTGCCCACAAATGGAAGTTGTGATTTAGTATATTCCTACTGTATGATCTTGTTGGTAAATGAAAGAAATAGTTAAAATGTTTCTTCATATATCAGTTATGAATAAGATCATCTGAATAACTATAATGTTCCCTGTCATATGAAATGTAGATAATAGGTAAGTCAATATGTTGTTAACATCCAATGGTTAAATTAGAGGTAAAAGAGTAATGATTGATCTGACCTCTTCTATTTGTGATGCTTCATCATTGACACTGTTGATCTCACGTATCTGGTCAGATCTTTCTAATCTGGTTGCTTCCTTTTCTATATCAGTATTATCCTTCAAGCTTCCTACCAAGTTGGGAGAAGAATTCTCTGCCTTGTTGATATCTTTTTCATCATCCTCTATTATACCAGAAGGTTCAATACACTTTAAGGCCTCATCAATTGGCTTTTCATATTCGCCTTCATCTCTAGTTTCTTCCTCATCAGAGACTTCTGCATCTTTTGTCTTGGAGATGTATGTTTCAGCTGACTGCTCAGTATGGAGATGTCGATCTTTACCTAGGTGCTTCTTGATTTCATCCACACTCTCCTCCCCTGTATCAACAGTCCCAAGTAAAGGGATGTCTATTGTGTTGGAGAGATTATCCTCTTTTTGCGTCAACATCTCTTCTACTCCTGGTGAAATGGAACGACTTTCTGAGGTTTCACATGTATCTTGAATTTTCACTGAAGTTTCATTTATTTCCCTTGCTTCTGTGGATACGAGACCATGTTCTTCCAATGGCACTTCAGAAATTTCCTTCAAGTCACCTTCCAATATTTCTTTTAAGGGAATGACCCTTGTGGTAACCTCTTCCTGATCTTCACCTACTGAGTTTGAAGCCTCATCTTGCATTTCATTTGCTGCTGTTGGAATCTCCTTGTCCTTCTCAAAAGAGTTGGTGGAGTCCTCTTCCACATCGGTGTCCACACTGTCCAGGTCAACTCCTTTGGTTTCTGTTGCAGCCAGGCCTTTCTCTTCTAGAGGAAGATCAGATTCAGATCCACCTACCTCTGTATTGTCTTCATGTTCAACTTCCCTTACTGTTGGTTCTTCTTTTGCAGCTGCAGTGGATTCGGTATCACTAAAATTTGTTCTTTCTTTTTCTAAGAGTTCTTCAGTGTCCCTACAGACTTCTGATTTGAAGGAGGAGTTCTGAATGGGGTCTTCTTCGATTTCATCCTCTGTGGTATCAAGAGGATTGTGGTCATTTTTTTGCTCTGGCTGGTCTTCTGTATTCTGAGGGGTTGTTTCCTCCAGAGGACCTGTTTCCTCAATATCTCTCTTGAGGGCTACACTTGAGTCGCTAACCTGTAAAATAATTGAATCTTTAAGTTAATAATTGAAAATAGATGGTCAAAAATTGCTTTTGCACATGCTAGGTTACCTCTTCTTTCAAGTTCATGGGGCTGCTTTTGTCTTTGTTTGAGATTTCCTCCACTGTTGCATCTTTTGTTGATGAGAAAAGGCCAGGTTTGTCATTACCCTCTATGCCCAGATTTTCCTTGCTTATTCCTGAATTTGCTGTTGTGGCAGCTTCATATACCTATGTGAGAAGTGAAACACAATGAGACTCTACGATAAAGTTGGAAATAATGGTTGGTTGTCTCCTCTATTCTGCCCTTTATAAAACCCAGGGGAAAAGAGAGGAGAAGA